TTAATAGTTTTAGATATTTATTCATAACATAAACAGCGCTAGCATTTCTGTCGATTTTATTTCAGCTTAACCGGCCGCTATCCGGAAGAAAACATGCACCGTACTGACTGCTAGGGCAGTTATTTTCTGCTTTGAATACTTCCCACTGGCAATAATGATTCCGTAACGTACCCCTTGCGCTATCTTTTGACCATTTGGCAACTATTCGCTTCGTAGCTGACACGGTACAACACTTTTCTTTGGCTTACTTCACACGGCCAGTCATTTTGTTTACAAAGAAATGGTGTGCTATGCGCATGCGCTAGTAGAGGGAAATCCCTGAACAAAACGTTGGTCAGACAGGTAGAAATACCGATGATTATCTTAGATTTAATCATTTTTATGAATCTATTTCAGCCAAATCCGATCGGCATTTTCCATAAGGAGTCTCACTTGATATGTTTATGTAGTATTTGGAAAAAAGACAAAAAAAAAAGTTACTTCAGCGTGATGCCCCTTTAAATGAATGACCTAGACATTTATTCAAGGTCACAGAGATCAAATATGTTCAAAATCTTTCAAACGACTTCTGAATAACCAAAAGTCGCAGGATGATGATATTTGGGATTAAAGGCTACCAAGTTTGTTCAAGTGAATGACTTTGATTATATTCAAGGTCACAGGGGTCCAATTTGTTTAAAATCTTTAAACGATATCTTCCAAATAACCGTGAGGCCCAGAATGTTGATTTTTAGCTAGTAGCATGCTTGGATAAAGGGCTATCAAGCTTTTTTATTTGAATGACCTTGACCCTTTTTTGAGGTCACATTTAGTCAAATATGTTTAAACATTTAAATGACCTAATTTCAATAAACAAAAGGATAGGGTGGTGATATTTTGCAAGTTGCATCCTGAGATGAAGGGCTATACAATTTGTTCAACATAATGACCTTGTTCGACTTTCAAGGTCACAGGGGTGGAATGTTTTTAAGTCTTTGAACAGGTTCTTTTGAATGAATTTTAATCATAAATACTGATATTTTGCCTTTAGCTTTATTTAAGATCACTTATAAGGTTACAAGTGTGAGATGTATACCAGGTGAACGATGCAGGCCCATTGGGCCTCTTGTTATAGAATAAAATGATAAGCTTAAGCTGAAATTCAGTCAATTAAGATTAACAATCATAGTTACAGGTTTCAATATCAGTTAGAATGGTTCTGTTTCAGTGCGCCCTGTGATTGCATTCACCAACCCATTCATAGAGGTAATTAAGGGTAACGATGTTGAGTTGAACTGTGTGCTGCTGAGAGGAAACCCCAAACCTGTTCTCAACTGGATCAAGGATGGAATGGTGGTTCAGCCATCAGCACGTGTCACACGACCCTTCAACAACAGTGTCCTCATCGGGGACATCCAGCAGGACATGGAAGGGGACTACCAATGTGTGGCTAGCAACGTGGCTGGCAACTCTACCTACACTGTTACTGTTGATGTCCTTGGTAGGATCTCCTCTGTAACACTATTAGGAAATGTGTGATTTTAGAGCATTATGCATGTGTGATTGGTAGATAGACCAGGAGTGGGGTGCGGTAGGTTTGGGGGATTTCCACTTGAACATTTTCCTGATGTCACATTTTTCTAAGTTATAACATTTTTATGAGGGAAAAAAAGGAAAAAATGAGATGAATATACCAAGATTATAATGATATGGGGGAAAGAGTCCCATGAAGAATTATGACTTTTAAGTTAAATTTTATGATTCTATAACAATCCAGCTCAAGATTCCATTTTACAGAAAAAAGTTTTCTAAACCAAATAGACATGTTTCAGATTTATGCATAAAGTTGGACCTATGTTGAAAGTCTAGTAAGCATATTAGGTTTCTAGATGTGGTTCAAGCGTTCTTCACTGTTTAGGAAATCTCATTTGATTCCAGTTCCTCCGGAGCTGCTTTTAGATGAAGAAACAGACACCCAGGACCGATTTAGAGTTACGGAAGGAGACTCCATCATTCTGCCCTGTAGAGTAGATGGAGACCCACCTCCCACAGTGACATGGCTCAGGGATGGCAATGAAATCCTCCTCACAGACCCGTCGTACTACATCACTGAGGATGGCAGTTTGGAGATATTCGGAGCTGAGTCAACCAATACAGGGACCTACATGTGTACAGCATCTAATGTAGCCGGGAAAGTGGAGAAAACTGTCACACTCTTTGTGGAGGGTGAGTGTTGGATTTTGCTAGATCAATCACTCGAAGAGTGACTAATAGATGTTTCTAGGTATGGTACTCTCTTTATAAAGGGTGTCTATGGACATTAACAAGCTCTCTATCATTAAGGATGTGTGAAGGACAAGTACTTAAAGTTGCTGTAGGATTAGCATAGAAGGTTACTGGACATATCATACTCTTTGTAAAGAAAGAGTATCTGACGTCACTAGACATGTCACATTTCTTGTGAAGGACGAGTAGTGGACATTTGGATGCGTCACACACTTCGTGGAAAACAAGTAATCAATGTTAACTCATTCACTCCTTAAGACACATTTTAAACTCTTCAAAATCAAAGGTTGAAATAGTTCATGAAATTTCAGGGGTAAACAAGTAAATATAGATAGATATAGATCATAAGTTATCACATCTTTCTTTGCACATTTGATGACCTGTAAATTAAATGCACAACTTTCAACATATTTTGAGTGTATTTAATCTTTCTTTGTCATTTACCAGTTCCTTGAACTGATATTTTTTGTGTGAATCTACTTTTCAAAAGTTCAAAAATGTGGCAGTGGTGACCAAAACATAATTTTCTTCTAAATAAATGTTTCAGTGCCTGCTAGTATAGCTGGCAAGCTTAATGAGAAGTATGTAGTGGAATCAGGACAGACAATCCTCCTTCCCTGTGTGGTCAGTGGTGTACCGGAACCAGAGGTAAACTGGAGGCGCAACTTCATCCCTTTCTATGCTGACACTGAGAGGTTTTTGATCAGTGACCAGGGCCTAACAATCTCCCCAGCCCTGATTGTGGATAAAGCCATCTATGAGTGTGTGGGTAGCAATGATGCTGGCAGTGCCTCCAAAGTCATCACACTTATTGTACAGAGTAAGTGCTTTTATAAAACATGGTATACTTCTGGAAATAACATGTGGTCATTGTACAACACTTCCTTAAGATCCTGCTTGTGTATGCATAAAGAGTACGAAAGGCTTATAATGGGTAATGCCTCTAGAGATTCAACCTGATCATGTACTAAGTTAAGATTTGATGTCCATTCATAACACTTCTATATATGTAAAAATTATTTAAGGTGACTACTCATTTTACACATTGTGTTAATGTGTAGTATCATTTCTAGAGATCCAATCAGTACGTTGTACCAATAAAGGAATTAATTCTTTTAGAGATAAAACATATCAAAGCTTGAAATCATTTTCAGGATGCTGAATCTCAATTTTAAAGTTATCATATTTCATTTCTACCATGTTCTCATAATAATGGATATAGTATTATCAGAACTTTAATTTGAATGCTTAATATATACAGAATAATTTTTATGCTTAATACGTACAGAATTAAAACGTAGCAACAATGAGTAGAATATATATTCTTTATCAGCATTAAAGGTCATAGGGTCATAAAAGAGACCAGGCCCAGTAGTCAAATTCAACATATATTTTCATTGTAAAATAGAAGTCAAGCAATCTCTTTTACAACTGTGAGATACAGGGCATTTCTATTTTTTTTGGCCATTGCATGAAAAGACCATACAGGGTCACTTTAGGCAAACACAAATGCCTTGCTGTAAACATATGATTGTCTAGGCAAAGTTAAGGAAGTACCAGGTAGGTGAACAAAACAAACCCTCATGTGTCTCTTTTTAAAACTGATTTTTCTAACTCTTGTGTTTTTTTGTATCAGTTCCTCCACAAATCAGTCAAGATGGCGATGATGATATAACTGTATTAAACAACGAGGGTGTGACGTTGAACTGTGAGGCGACTGGTAACCCCATGCCAGACATTCGCTGGACCAAGGATGGGGTTACCTTGGATACATCAGAGGGCAGCTATTATCGAATGATTGGGAATGGGTCACTTCATATAACGTCGTCCGGTCCGGCAGACAGTGGGACATATGTGTGTGTGGTGACCAACACGGCGGGGACACAAACCAGGGAATTCTCTATCACAGTCAACGGTAGGCTACAAATATCATACTTTCACCTTTTGCCACAAACTGTGTTTCCCACTTTTGTTTGATTTTCCAGTTTTTGAAAGTATGAATGAAATTTTCAACTATTTTAAACATGTCTTTCCTCATTCATTTTGGTTTGCCATGTCATTCCTAGGAAACACATGCAAAATTACTTTCAATATGAAAAAAAACCATGCCCTCCAAAATCTACCGGTAAATAGAATAATGATTGCAAGCATCATAATTATCTTCCAACATATTTCTATTTTTTTAAAGATATTTCTTGGTTTTCAGTGTTGCTAACTAGTAGCCTAAAGTTAATGTAATGTGCAACAATAAAAAAAAATATTTGCCCAAAACAGTTTTGCATTTCAAATTCAAGGATAGGCAAAAAGCTGTATCGCATATATCAATTGATCATTGTCCTTTAATCCTCAGTCATCCAATTCACATTTAGGTATGCATTCATGACATGAGATTTTACTATTGTTATGTTCAAATACAAAAGAGAATTTACAACTCTTGTTTTCATGTTAAGCTCTGCCTACCTTGCCGGGTAACCTCCTGACAAATACCTCGGAGATAGAGAACAGTGATGTGATCCTTGAGTGCCCAGCCACAGGGACCCCACCCCCAGACATCACTTGGTACAAGGATGATGTTGCACTGTCATCTGATGACTTTGGTGTGAGCATCTTGCCAGATGGCTCCCTTGAGCTGGAAAGCATCTCAGCTGAGGATTCCGGAGAGTATCGCTGCCTGGCAACCAACATTGCTGGGGAAGTTGACCACACAACTAGACTTAAAGTCCTTGGTAAGACTGAATGTAGTCTAAGGGCACTAATTTCTTTAATGATTGGTGTAAACGTCACTGCTTGAAAGTCAGTGCATAAATATATCTTGTTTTGACTTTTGATTTTTTTTATAATTATAACAGTATTTTCTCCAAAAATATACTAAAGTATAATGGAAGTTTTAATTTAGATAGTTGATGATTATGCTGTTGGTAGATTCATTTCTTTGAACACATTTTGAAAAATTGATATGTACTATAAATGTTTTCATGTAAATAGTATATGTTACGTTGAATTTATTTGTTTATTTCTCAGTGGCACCCAAGGTAATAGGTGGTGACCGTGGGGATATCCCCATCCCGGAGAGCCACACTGTGAGGGCTAATGAAACACTGACCATGGTTTGTACTGTGGAGGCAGATCCTCCGCCCACCATCAACTGGCTGAAAAATGATGAACCCTTCACTGAGGAGGAACTGTCACATGTACGTATCTCTGCCAATGGCAAGGAGCTGGTCATTCCTCGGGCTGCTGTTGAAGACACTGCACACTATTCCTGTGTGGCCACCAACATAGCTGGGTCTTCTAAGAAAGAATTTGATGTTGATGTCCATGGTAATTATGTAATACAAAACCTTCAAGTTTGGATTGATGTCCCTTTCTATTACTGTCAAGCATAACATTTTGCTTGGGATTCAATTTTGTTTATTTGGTGGTTCCGGGGAGACCCCAGAATATAATTCTAAGCATATTTTACCACTCGAAATTAAACCACACTGAATGTTTAAAGAAAGAACTTTTTAGGCTATTATGAAAATTTGTGGCACTTGTACTTCGAACAAAATTTCTATCAAATAAGATTTAAATAAACATAGGTACCGGTACTATGAATTACTATTGTTGATAAGAAAGATAAATGCACTATTAATTGCGGGAGTAAGAATGAACTCCTGTCAATCATTTACAGTACACAGGTCATCAAAACATATTCATATTCTGAATTAATAAATGAAAAAATTGCAGTTGTAGTTTGGATTTTGCCATATAAAATATACATATATACATAAGTTCCTGTGTGTCTCTGTTGTGGTATACAATGTAATGTATTTGCTGTTGACTTTGGTAGTGCCCCCAAGGATTGACCCGGGCACTGTGTCTAATGGTACCCTGTCTGTAAAGGTGAAGCAAACCCTTACCATCAACTGTCCAGTAAATGGTATCCCTCTACCTCAAATCAGCTGGTTCAAGAACGGAGAATACATCTCTCCACTGCTTGACCCTAACATTAAATTATATGCGGGCGGTCGCAGGCTAGAGGTTGTCGATGCTAGGATTACAGATGCAGGACTGTATAGATGTGTTGGGGAAAACATTGCAGGAAATACACAGCACGAATTTAATGTCAAAATCAATGGTGAGCTTGAACATATACATGTATTTTTATCTATAGCAATTCTTTGTTTCATGAAATGAATAAAAATTCAAATTAAAAAAATAAGTTCCTTTTATGTCCAATGGGCTAATTAGGACAAATTAATATGAATTGATTATATTGAAAAAAATAATCTAGATATATTGGATAGAATGACCCTGAATCTGTTAACCTTCATCGGTTATTTTTGTTGTTATTGTAACAGTGCCACCCCAGATAGAGGATTCAGACACTGTTCACATTCCGGAGGTTGTGGAGGATGGAGACCTCCTTCTGAATTGCCCTGCATCAGGAAAACCATTACCAAAAATTACGTGGTTCAAGGGAAATCAGCCAATCAAGTTCAATTCATCTAGCTATCTGATCCTGAATGAGGGATTCACATTACAGATTCAAAACGCACAGCAAGATGATGCAACAAGGTTTATCTGTCGAGCCGAAAATGTGGCTGGTGCTAATGAAAAAGCTTTTGATGTGAATGTGTTAGGTAGGTGTCATATTGGATTCCTTCAGTTATACAAAGAAGCATATTCCTTGTAAAACCATATCCATGTTTCTTGTATAATTCATTGTTAATTAGTGGATGGAATGAAATTTATTTGTTGACAATTAATAAACACATCATTAAAATTTACTTGTTGATATGAGCAAATTTGGCATATGATAAAAGTATTTGATATATAAATGAAATGGGATTTTGTTCAAACACAAAACAACTTACTAAAAGCTAAAAATAATTAATGCCTTGTTTTTGTATAGTGTGATATTAAAGTCATTCATTGCAAAATAGGAGTTGTCAATTCTGATACCGTTTTCAGTGCCAGCCAGGATCTCTGAGGAAGGCCTTGACTCTACGCCTGATGTAGTCCTCAATAGGACGCTAGTGTTGAACTGTCATGCGGAAGGTAATCCCACCCCTGAGATCACATGGTACAAAGATGGCTTCCTCCTGGACCCCACACTCAATCCACGCTATGACATTCTGTCTAGGGGCCGCCAACTACGTATCCAGGCTGTCAGGCTGTCCGATACTGCCATATACAGGTGTGAGGCTCTGAACAAGGCTGGAAAGTCCACCTTCGACTTCAACACTGACATATTTGGTAGGGATATTAAGTGTAGCAAGTATAATATTAGGATCAAAAACCATGTAAAATAATGTGTTGCCAAAACACTTTCTAAATTGTCCTGTTTAAAGTTTAGAAGCTGACAGATTGTTGTCAGTACAAGTATTATTGTTATTTCTCTTCTCAGTTGTTATTTCACATCAAACACTTTCTTAATGTGCTAAATTGGTTTGTACAGTTCCATCAAAGATTCCTATTATAAACATCAACATCAGTCCCAAGGCTGTCGTGAACAGTTCGCTGACCTTAGACTGCCCAGCAACAGGAACACCTACACCGGAAATCACATGGTTCAAGGATGGAAGAAAAGTAACTCCAGAACTAAACCCCAACATTCGTATTAGAAATAATGGTCGCCAACTGGAGATTGTCCGTTCTCAGGTGTTCAACACAGGCACATACACATGCAGGGCAGTCAATCCAGCAGGGCAGAGCGAACTCGTACTCAACGTTAACATACAAGGTAGAGTATCAGTTAAACTTCCCAGACTTTAATACAGGGTAATAAAATAGCTCTAAACTTTGTAGTGGGGTTTTGTCAAATTATCTCTGACAAAGTGTTTGAGACACATGATCAGATTTTAAATTCATGAATGCTTTTAGTTGCATTCCCCTCCCCCCCATAAGTCTTTAATCAAAAGGGACAAAATACCATATCATTACCAGTTTGTTATTGTATGAAAAAATGAAGTTTAAAAATGACATTTATGATGTTGTCTGTGTCATCTCTAACCAGATCAACACTTTAATCACAGTTTCCAATCACTGATTTTAAGTGGTCAAATAAAATGTATTAATTACACTGTTTGTAAATTGAACAGAAGGAACACAATTTGTTCATAAGCCTTTTGCAGTTATTGTAGATTTGTAGCTTTTTTCAAAGTTAATTTATTTGTTTATAATTATATAAAGCCAAATAAAAGTAAGCTGTCAGCTTTGTTATAACTTCAGGAAAAGATTTTTGATTGATTTGTAAACTAAAGACTATGAATTGGTTTTGCAGTTCCTCCAAAAATAGGTGCAGATGTGGATAAGAACCCCAGGGTGGTTATTGGTGAACCATTCACAATCTACTGCCCTGCCAGTGGTACACCACCACCAAACATCAGGTGGTTCAAAAATGGGTCCCCTATTCTTCTGTCTGAGGATCGCCAGGATATCCGAGTCACTGCCGGGGGACGTGAGTTGTATATACTCGCTGCTGAGGTAGATGATGCAGGAGCCTACATGTGTGTGGCCACAAACGAAGCTGGAGAGTCGGAACAAACATTTGATCTTGAAGTGTATGGTAGGTATTCAGGCTGAAGTAGCTATCAATGATACTTGCAATGATGAAATTGTAGTAAGGTTATTAATGATGAAATTTTATGTTAAATTATGTATAACTGAGTTTATAAAACCCCACATCTTCAGATGGTGGGTCATCCTAATTCCCCTTTTATCAATGGTCTGTCATCCATACTTTTCTGTCTTGTGTCTTATGTCCTTAAACAAAATTTGTAGTCACTTTTGCTCAAGAAGTACTTGACAGATCTTTCTCAAATTTCCTACGAATGTTCTCTTGGTGCATAGTAGTGCAGGTTCTATTTCAAAACTGATTTGAAAATCAAAATGACCATCAGACAGCCATCTTGGTTTTGACAATTAAAGTTTGTTAAAATAGTACTCGACAGATTTTTTTTTACTTGATTGACAGATATTTCTTTTAGCTGTGCATCTGTCATCTTAAGAGAGAATGGAAAAATGAGATTGCCACCAGGCATCCATCTTGAATTTTGACAGTTCAAGTTTGTTGTCACTTTTTCTCAAGAAATAGACTTGGCAGACCTATCTGAAGTTTAATATGTTAGGTTTCTATTGGTCCTTGGTTTTGCCTGTTATATTTTCAGACCTATCAGAGGAAAGATGGCTACCTGGCATTATCTAGAATTTCGACAGTTCAAGTTTGTTATTCAGATATAGCTGTACACTAGAACATGGTCATAAAAATATAACAGTTGAATAGTAGTTTTTAGGTCACCTGAGACAAAGTCTCAAGTGACCTATTGCGATCGCCTTTTGTCCGTCGTTGTCCGTCGTCCGTCGTGCGTCCGTAAACAATTTACATTTTCGACTTCTTCTCCAAAACCCCTGAACCAATTTCAATGAAATTTTGCAGGGACCTTCCATGGACAAAGGTCAACAAAAGTAGTTGCCGGTTTAGCCCTTAGGCTCCAGGGGCGTGAGGGGCGGGGCCAAAAAGGGTCAAATTGACTAAAATTTCAAAAATCTTCTTCTCCAAAACCCCTGAACCAATTTCAATGAAATTTTGCAGGGACCTTCCATGGACAAAGGTCAACAAAAATAGTGGCCGGTGTAGTCCCAATCCCCCAGGGGCCTAAGGGGCGGGGCCAAAAAGGGT